CGTAAAGTCACATCACGAAGTATATTTTTTCCTCTTACAACAGCTGTTATAAGTTATAAGCTGTTATAAGTTGGGTTATAAGACCCAAAACTGGAACACTTGCTGGTTTCGAAGGCCTGTGATAAACTAATCCCAACTGTTAGCTCTGTAACAAAACACAACTATTTCACTTCAAGTATGCAAAGAAATTGATCATACAAATTCCAGAACTAAAGAAATATTCACCTGTTTCACTTCATTTCTTAAACAAGTGAAGAACAATACCTACAGGTTTTGTTATCATACATATTCATGGTTATTTCATTTCAGACATTCAGCCTCACTGGGCAAACAGCAATTCATTTAGTTAGGCTCTGTATTTTCTGTATACTAAAACCACCACCTGATTTTAATAGTGGAAGCAAGTGGTACAAAACCCAAAACTTCTAACAGCGCATGCAGACTGCAAACCTGACTCTACCAAAATACCAGGATTTCCACTGACTTTAACTGAAGTTGGGACTTTTTTTTTTTTTCCTAGACTACGCATCTTACAATAAAGCAGCATCAACTTTTCTTGGTACAGTGGAATGTTCTGTGTATTTCTCTGTTTGGATATTATCCAATATTTATCACAGCATGTTATCTGAAGTTATATATAGCCTTTCTACATTTCTGAGATAAGCAGGAAGTCTTCCCATAACATAGGATTAATGCATTACCTACACACACGCCTGAGAAATACAGACATAACCATACACACACATTCATCAGTGTTCATCAAGCACACTTGTGCTTGAACATACACACACAAAGCGACGTAAGCCTTGTGTTTTTTAAATTGCTAATTATCAACCAGCAGAGTAGACTTTGGGATTCAAAGACTTGAATTCATAGACTTTGTCCTGAATGTGCAGACTGCATGGCATGATGGTGATCTGCTTAGTCATGAGGGAATGAGGTGACTGATGCAAGTCCACAAAGCATCACCTGGTAGCTGATTCCATACAACCTGGTTTTTGAGGTAGTTACAAATCCTCCTCCTTCCTAAGCAGGACATATTTTTTCCTACTTACAGTGAAAGTCAGTAAAGCAACAACAGACAATAAGGTGCTGCTTAGAATTTTTTTTTTTTTTTTTTTCTTTTTTTGTGCTGTAAGTTTAGGAATATGCTATAAAAAATACACCTTACATTTTTTTTTTCTATTTGCACTCATGCAGGTCAGAAACTGTACTTTTATATGAATCTATTACTGTTGCAAGCATAAATAAAATCATTGGAAATGTGAAAGTTTTGCATCAATCTCACTACTACATCCTGTCTCCATCACAAATCTGTAATTATTTGCATTCTCATGGTACAGATCATATGGTATTGGAGACAGGGAAAACCTTTTCATGTGAGTGAGAAGGAAGATGGCTCAAATCTTGACTGGGCTGTTAGGCATTACTTCAGTATAGGTAATTAAACATACCTGTATTGTTCAAGTATCATGAATTATAATCATAGAATGATGCAATTCTTTAGTTCAATTCAGTTCAATCACTCAATTCTTGAGTAGTTTAGGAGGGGACAAAGAGATCAAATAAATGCTGAAAGGTGAGGTTGGAGAGGGAGGAATATTGGAGTGCGATCAAATTGTCTCAAGTTCCGTAAAAGTTTTGAGACATAAAGTCTGCAGATAGGCCTTGCTTCCCTCATTTTCCATAAGCTAGGAGGGAAAACAAACAAACAGAAAAAAATCTGCAAAAATTAGGTTTATATTTACTTTGTTATGTATTAGAAAAAACCACCACTACAAAACAGCAGCTGGGGCGGTGGAGAGAAAACCAGCGAAGTAAAAGAAATATTAAAAGTTTATCATTTAAGCAGGATTCAATTTACACTTCACGTTCATGGGAATTGAAATATCCGAAGACACATCGTTCATTTTTGGTCAGCTTTGGGAATGTCTTTGTAGTCAAACAAGAAAACAGCCCACCAAAAAAAGAGGTGCATGTGAGGATTTTTTCCAAGTGCTCTACAGCAGGCAAATCCCTAAGAAATGACCTGGTAGGTCCTACCTGCTATTGGGAAACCCCACATTCTGCTTGTGGCATGGGTACAGAGGAGTTGAGTATAACAGCACTCTCTTTCCTTGTATTATTTCTAACTTTTTCCTTTTACAGTTCACAAAAAGTTAATTGACAGACAGAGAACATTTGTTATAAAGGGCCTGAAAAACAGATCCCTAAAATAAAAAGGAATAATGGTTATGGAAGTAGAGTCGAGAGTAATTAGGAACCAAATAGGGACAGAGTCAGTTATTAAACAAGTCTACCAGTGACTAATAAGATGAAACTAGCAGCAACTACCAATGGAGAGTATTGTATCCCTGATTTCAAGTGACCCCAGCGTGGAGAATTTATAATTGTATTTTAATTTCTTTTGAGTAACTGTCATGAAAACTGTTTTAGTGTACGTCAGAGGACAGCAGTGGAAAAACTCTTGCAATAAAAACTAGTAAAAGAAACTCAAGTTCTGAATATCAAATGCAAATATCTAGTGATGCACAATTAGGCTACAAAACCTGGCCAGTAAATATAAAACTGTTCAGGATGGCAGTGAATATGCGAAAAAGAAAAGGAGGCCTCAAAAATGGAAGATGGAAAACAAAATCCCAAAGTATACTTTTAATTATGTATTCCAGTCTAGTATAATACAGATTTTCCTTTCTACTTTTAAACTTTCCCCTATTCTTAGGATATAACTTCCTGCAAAATTGATTTTTATTAGTCGTTAGAAGTAGAAAACTATATACTGACAATAATTGAAGGCTGACCTACATTTTATTGATTTCTAAATGGACACAGGTATCTCCAAAAATTCACAAAAGAATCAGAAACAACATTGACAGTGAGTTTCGATCAACATCCTACGGAAAGCTGAAAGGCACTGCTCCAATATTCAACTGAATTCTAATAGCTCGCTCCCTACTTTTTGTGATATTTCCTTATATGAACTATGCATTTATATCGCAGGAGAAAGATCATTATTTGTGTAACGATCACATAGTATTTGAAGTTCCATTGAGCAGTACTGTTTAATAAATTGCGATATCCAGGAATCTGACACAGAGGCATTGCTGAAAACTGCAGTTTACAGATAAATGGCCGCTGAACTACTAACAGTTAATGGTACATCCTACAGAACTGATGTCTAAGAATATTCAAACTCAAAAGCTATGTAAAAATACCTGTAAGTTATACATATGTATATCACCGGTTACCAGTCGAAGTCCATGCCAGTTATTTTTCCAGTTCTCTCCCCCCTGACAAGTTCATGCTTATATTGCATCACATGCCTTAACACACTGTGAGATTTCTTACAATCTTTTAATTAAATCTCTAAGCATTTTTGCAGCTATTTTTTGTAACAGCCACAGAGAATAATGATGCCAAACACATCATGCAATAAACCCTGCTATTAACGCAAGCAAAATGTATGAAACTTCTTCCCCAAGGACAGCACTGAGCGTCACGACATACACAGCTGATGTACACTAGAAATTTTTTAGTTAACTAGTAACAAATTATAGTCATGTATTAAAAGCTAAATTACTGATTAATTGCTACCAGAAACATACATATTTATACAATTTTGTTTTGGATACTAGTGTTTAAATGGAACAATACAATCACTATCCGTGGTGAGCTTGTTCAGAGATGGAGCGGCAGGTTGCAAATGGAAGGCTAGCCCACAGCCTCAGTTATTTCCAGGATAACTGTAATCCATCCTTCTGATTTAAAGGCACCTACAGCCCACAGCATGGGGAGAAACCGATAATTTCCTGAGCTCTTCATCAGAGTAAATACTAGCCTTACGTCACCGATTATTAATAAATACATCACTGTTAAGTCAGCACTGTATGCTCATGTGTACACAGTGCCGTGAAGTTACAACACCACAGGAACTTGCACTCTCCAGTTGTAGAATACCCTGGAGAGAAATGACACCAGGAAGATTACAAAACGCCCCTGCAGACCTGAGGCATACCATCAAGACACAGCATATTTCAACACGGCATCTCACTTGTTGCAGGCTCATAAGGGCTCCCTGACTCGCTGCGGTTGAGAAAACGAACAAAAAAAGAAGAAGGGGGGAGGAAAAAACAAAACAAAACAAAACCAAGCAGCGCAAGAACCAAACCTCTTTTCATTCATTAAGCGCATTGGCCAGGTGAGCACCACCAGCGAGCTCCCGGCTCCAATCCCTTCTCCTAAGGCAGTACCGCAGGACAGCCGGCCGTCGCTACCGCGGGATGCGCCCGCCGCCCGCAGCACCTCCGCGTGGAGGAGACCCGACGGGGTGTGGGGGGGTGGGCAGGCAGCGCACCTGGAGCCGTCCCGCGGGGTCCTCCCGCCCCCTCGCCTCTCCTTCTCGCCCGCTACGGGCAACCCCATCCTCTCCGCCCGCCCACGCAGCCCCACGGCGCCGGGTGCTGGCGGCGCTTCTCCCCCCGCCCCGGGCCGCGCTCCGCTCCCCCTCAGCCCACCGCTTCTCCCCTCCGTCCAGGAAAAGCCCTCCGCCCCGCCTCCCGTTCCCTCGGAGCCACCTTCCTTCCCCGCCGCTCTGAGCATCCCCGGCGGCGTGGCCTCTTCCCCAGGCCCGGTGCCGAGCCCCCTGCCCACGCCGGGCGCAGCTCCCTCACGCCGACAGCCGCTCCTCGGCCGCCGCCGCCGCCCTCTTCCCCCGCGAGCCCCCGCACGCCCTCGCGCTCCCGGTCCCCCTCACGCCTCCGCCGGCCCCCTCGCAGCGGGGAAAGGTCCCCCTTAACCCGCACTGACCTGGCGCTGTCAAGTCTCAGCCGGAGAAACTGTTCCCTTCTGGTGGGATAAACTCCCCGGGCCGGCCCATCCTACCGGCCAGGCACCGCCTCCCCGCCGGGGCACCGCCTCCCGCCGCCGAGGGGCGAGCGGCGCCCGGGGCTGTGGGCGCCGCGCGGGTCGGGGCTCGCGCCGCGGCGGCCGTTGGCGGGAGCGGGGCGGGGGCGGTGAGGCGGGAGCCGGGAGCCGGGGCTGAAGCGCGGGGCTGGAAGCCGCCCGGGACGTTCGGAGAGCGAGCGGGTCAGTGAGGAGGAGGCGCTCCTTCTCCTTCCTTTCCCCTTTAGACCCGGTCCGTTCACCCGAGCCGGTTCCCTCCGGGTCCGTGCCCGTTAAGCGTAATCGCACGCGGGCACCTCGTGTGAGGACAGAGCGCGGGCCCTGGAGTGGGTCTGGAATTTGATCTCTGCTCTCTGCAATCTCCTGTAACTGAGAATTCAGTTCTTTCCGGCTGCTAACTGCTTTCTCTTTTGCATTCCCCTTCTCCAGCTCACTCCTCTCTGCGCTGCGTGTAGTCGCTCACCTCACGTCAGTTTGTGTCCCGCTGTGACAGGACTAAATGCTTTTCTGAAAAGATTCTTAGCGGTGACGGAGGTAAATGAAATTCTTTTTCACCCCTATTTTTTTTTTTTCTTCTTCTTTTTTTTTTTTTTTTTTTTTTTTTTTTTTTACCTCCCTTCCCTCCCAGGAATGCAAAAAGAAGTGGTATAGGCTATGCTGGGTAAGTCTCAAGACAGAGCAAGTTCAAACAAGCATGTCACCTCCTATTTCATCCCGAGATTCTTTTATTAAAAAGTGAGATGCTGTAAGTCAGTCATAAGATCAACAGCCTTTAGAGAGTCACCATGTAAGTCCAGGTGCCCCGGCACGCAGCAGTTTACCTTTAAGAACTCCTGATCAATTGGGCATCATTAGAAGATTCAGAAGATCCTAAGTTTGCCTCACAGTTCTTAGTCATCCAGTGTTTTGAAAGAGTTTGCTTCCATTTGCTTTGTTATTTGTATACCGAAGGCAATTTATAGATTAGAGTAAAATACATCAAATTACCTGGTCTTCTCACAGATACGAACTGCCTGCGGCTTTTTGTTTATGAGAACAATCTCTGCAGAGACTGGAAGCCTTGTGTTAATTCTTATGAGAATTATCTATTTGTATGGATTTGTATGGGCTTGAAGTATTACTTCTGCCTTGGCACATCAGGGAATTATTTTTAGTTTATGCTTTTCCTACTGTCTGAAAATTTTAGGTTTAGAAAAGTGGAAATATTTTGTTTTTTTCTGGATTTTTTTTTTTTTTTTTAACATACTGCAGTAATACCTATTCAGTAGTGCACTTACTCAGAACTAGAAGCCAGAGGCTGAAAACAAGTAAATCAAAACCTCAGAATTAGTTCAAGATGTCACGGGTGAATAAACAGGCAAATGTGAGTAAAAAATATTACACCAATAAAAGAGGTATAAATACTTAATACTATCCCTAACCACTTTCCAACATCTCATATAGAATTTCAGTAGTATATTCAAAGAAGAAAGATCTTAGCTGGACACCTCTACAGCACTAAAATTTAGCTCTGCTGACAGTAGGAAGAACGTTGTTGTCTGCAAAATAGTGAAGAATATACTCATCTGATTTAAATGTCTGAATAACATGGGAGCTCTTCAGAAAACCTAGGCTTTTAACGTGCACATTTTTTTAAAACTCCATGAGACTCTGAGCATTCCAGAAACTGGCAAGTAATAATGAACATCTGATTTTGAATATAAACTCATATTTGAGGCTAGACTTCTAATAAATTTATAATTAAAGGAGGAAAAACATAGCATACTTTGTATTTTACCATTAATTTTAATAAAACTGCATGCATAAATAATCTTCAAATTAAGTTACTTGGATGAAATAAAGACATATCTAACTTAGCCCAAAGAAAGCAACCAACCAGAGCTTCCAGAGAATTACTATAAATACTATATGTATTTTATTTATGTACAAATTACTTAGGTTTTGCAAATATGTATTTTAGCAGATTGAGACAGGAAAGAAAAAATAAATTACTTCATCTGATTTCCTGCTTAACATGGATTTTTATGTAGTAGTATATGGTGCTTTGTATGTTTTAGAATGACAGTTAATCTTAATTTGAAGAATCAAAGGATGAAGAATCCATAAATTATCTTTGGCAGTCAAAAATACACCTCATTTATAATTTGAATTAATGGCTTTCTTTATCAACAAAGACGATTTTTTTTTCCACTTGTGGAAGGTAGGAAGCCTACTGATTTTGGTTTTGGTAAAGAAAGTGGGTTACTAATACCTATCTCTTCTAAAATGAATTCTAGGTATTATTTTTACAATAATGAAATGGCCATTAGAATGAAATTATCAGTTTCTCTAACAGATTCTGTTTGCATCATTTTCCTGCACAGTTTTTGATTATGGGAACTTTGTGCCCTACTATCTGAATGAATTCCTAAGCTTGGCTGGGACATTTAAGCACTATAAAATAAGAATGAAGTGTTAAGCTGAGGCCTTCCTGAGTCATAGGCAGCTCAGTTCTTCCCTAAGTTCAAGGATAAACAGCAAAGGGCGTCAGCATCAGTTCTTGTTTTAAAATTGGATGATAACTTGTCTTCACAAAGGATCAATTATGTTTTAAAATAAATGCACCTAAAATTTAATGCATCTGAACAAAAGTCTTATTTCTGTATCGTGTATACAGTACTAATAATTTATTTTGTTTATTAACTAACTTTGAAGCAGATTGACTTGAATCATGGCAAAAATAATCCCACTGAAATGAGAAGGTACTGTGTGGAATCTCAGAATGGGTAAGAGTATTAGTGCAACCCAAATAGCCTCCCTTAAACAATTTTATTTTTTCTTCCCATATTAATGAAGCAATTTTTATGCAACTAATTCTAAGGTATATCAGATAGGTCTTTAAAGCTTGATCTTAGATTACAACATGGAATACATTAGAGAGACTCTGTCTATGATGCAGTGATTTTTACTGTTGGCTTGAAAAGGATAGAAATCTCTTAAGGATACCGAGGTGAGAAATATTTTTAGTCTAAGCAAATATACTACTTCCAGATTTACTTATTTTGATGTTTCCTTTATGTCTATGCTTTAAGTCTCCGGGTATATTACAGAAGTTTGAAATTACAAATCACACAGTGTGTCCCATCTCAGTACATTGGAAACATTGGAAAGAATGAAAAACTATCTAGCCAACCTTAACATCTAGAGGGCAATCTCATACTCTAGCAGCATGACTATAAATCTAGCAGTCAGAAGAATAGTTCTGGCTGTGTAAATTGCATTGTTTTAAAGCAAAAGGATTCAAGTAAGCTGAGAAGCTATTCTATTGCTCTGTTTCTTACAGTTACTGTGTCTACTTTATCTAATTTATGTAATTTTTGAATTTATATATCTGCTGTTCTTTTATTGATAAAAGAACTTTGTATTAGCATATCTTATTCTGTCTTTACTGGCAGTTTTTGGTCTTCTGGGAAGATATTTTTGTAAGAAGTATTTCATAATGTTCTGCCACACGCCTATCTTCAATTTTCACGTTCTTTCTACATACTGTTTTATTTGAAGGAAATCAGGAGTTTAAATTATTATCTGTGGAGTTGAGTGTGGAAACACAGCAAAACCTATGTATGAAACACAGTTCTTTATGTGATGGCAGAAGACTGCTCCCTTGGTATGATGCCAACTCTCTTTGGAGATCGCACTACGGTATTGTTATACCACACTCAGAGTGCAATGCCTTGGATCCAGCAAAAGTGATAGGACTAGGCATAATGCAGATTTTTCATAGATAACTGTAGAGCGGGTCAAAACAAGAATCCTTTTAACTAAAAATTATCCTTCTTTTCCTGAACTTTGAGGCTTAGATAAAAAAGATCAAAATCCAAATCGTACCTGCTTTAAGTTCTGTAAAGAGGAGATCACATCAGGCTCTGTACCTCTAATTATAATAGTTATCATTATCTTTGGTCTTTCCCCAACTCTCAACTTCTCTGATTTCTTTCTCTCTGTAAGAGTATGGCATTTTTTTAGGATTGTCTGATTCTCCTGTAAGAGGATATTATCTTCACGTAATCCCATTCTGATTGGATGGGTCTAAACTGTGTCTCAGTGAGATTTGAAGCAACAGAATATACAGTAATAAAGCATAAAAATCAAGCATACACTACTGCTTGTAGATCAGAAATTGATTTCTGAAGGAATCATTTTAAAGCTACGAAAAGTTTATGGTCTTTTTGAGTTTCATTTAAAAACATTTTATCCTAATTCATTCTGTGGTTAAGACAGATTTATGAATGTAAATGATCCAATGTTTGAAAATGAGATTTCTACAACTGTACATATTTAGACATCTTAAATTAGTAGCTCATGCAACCAAGATTTAGAGTTGTGCTAATGTAGTATGGGAAGAGGGTGGCTAGTCTTGTGGTTAAAGCATGGGACTAGCTGCTGAGAGGTCTGTGTTCTATTCCTGGTTGTGTCACTGACTTCCTGTGGGTCACTGGCTAAGGCACTTAACTGTGGCTCATTTTACTCATATATGAAGTGGAAATAAAACTTTTATTACTAAAATGGTGTGAGACTGAAGTCATCAGTATTTGTACAATTGCTTCATGCTCATTGATGGACTTGGTATATAATTGTATCAGCAGGTCAAAAACCATATCAGTAACATAATTAGTTTCATGTAATTTGCTATTTCTTTCTCACACAACAATTCATTGATTCCAGTAAAGAAGACCATAAACTCCTAAGTGCAAAGTATAACTGAAAATATCTAGAGAACTTTGCTTCCAGGTTCAAAATAAAGTGTTTCTTCACAAGGAGAATTTAATTTTCTTTTTAAGAGTGTGAGGAAAGGGTATTTATTCCCTAATAACTTTTTTTTTTTTAAAGTTAACTCCGTCCTCCCATTGTTTCTTTTGGAAGATTGTACGAGGATCACTCGATACTTCCATTTCCTATAACCTTTGTCCTGTTTTATGGAATTGATTTGAAATACTATTTTTAAAATCTCTGCTTTTTACATATTTTACCCTAATCTCCAGGGTGCTCCAGATAGCTGTCAGAAATACCATTGCTCAGCTAAGTGATGATTCTGTAGAAAAGCAGTATGCACTGCTACCACTAATCCCAGTGAAAGTCATTGAATCAAGAACATCTCCTCGCACACTATCGAGCCATAAGGATTAGTTTCTTGGCAATTCTGTCACTGTGGGATGGATCTCAATTTGATATCACAACTTTGATTTCCATTGCCAAGAGAAACGATAGAGGATTTTAAAGTGAAGATATTTAAGTAGATCTGTTTGTTTTTTTTCAGATGTCTAATAAATTAGTTTAATATACTTAGATACATATAAACATTTAAACATTTTGCATTTCTTTAGGACAAATATCATTTTTAGATCATAAAGTCTAAAACCAAATTAGAGCCATTTGGACAATTATATAGATTTTTTTTTTTTCCTTTTTAAGAGTGTGAGGAAGGGGTATTTATTCCCTCATAATTTTATTTTATTTTAACAGTTAACCCCTTAACAATATATTTACATGAAATA